GTAACAGTCAGGATGGTGCACCTGGTCCAGGAATGCTGCTCAGTGTGAACACACACACACACACACACACACACACACACATGCACAAAAACATGCACATAAACAAGCATACATACAAACACACATATACACAAACACACATGCACACATATATACACACAAACACCTGCACAAAAACACATACACACACAAACACATACACACATGCATACACAGATGCAAGCACACATATGCACATACATATACAAACACAAAAACACACATGCACACAAACACGTGCATACACACACACAAACAAACGCGCATACACACACACACACACACACACACACACACACGTCGGTCGGCAGGGCCGCCTGAGGGAGCCGCTGAGAGCATCCGGGAGAATGCTCTCTCTTTAAGTTTTCTCCCCGCAGTCAGGCATTTTCTGTATCTCCCCACCCACACGTTCACCTCCTTCAGCCAAAACATCCACGCGGGGACGGCGACGAGGCAGGAAGAAGAAGAAACGGTGAGAAAAAGGAGGCGAGGGAGAGTGTTCCCTTCCTGAACGAGTCCGTCTAACTCGGGGGGGGGAGTGTGTGGAGAAAATGACCCCCGTGTGAAACACCTTTCAGTGATTAATGAAATATGATCCTCGGCACTGGAGAGAGGCAGACTCTGAAGAAGCAGGAATCGTTTTCAAACAAACCCCAACCACAAAGAGGCACCTCAATGTTTCCTGGATGAGTGTTCGAATGTTTAAGGTTAAAAATGGCTGAGAACACCAAATATGATAAGACATCAGACACATTTTCGATCTCATTACATAACAACGATAAGAAAGTGGATATTGTTATCACTGGACATTTTTTAAAATTTACTCATCCTTAGTCTGTTTAAAGCCAAGTTCTGTTTTCTTCCTTTTTTAAAATATATTTTTATTCATTTCAAAGAGGATGGGAGAGGGAGAGAGAGAAACATCCATGATGAGAGAGAATCATTGATGGGGCTGCCTCCTGCACGCCCCCAATGAGGGATGGAGCCCGCAACCGGGCACGTGCCCTGAGTGGGACTCAGACCCGTCAGTACGCAGACGGACGCTCCATCCACTGAGCCAACCTAGTTAGGGCCCAAGTTCTGACTTCTTGGTTTTGTTCTCCATTGAACAAAGAATCCATGTGTTGAACATGAAAATAAACAGAACAGCTTGTTCTGAAACCCCCTCGTCAGCAGAGGCAAGACAGAGGGGAATGAATTGGCTCGGGAACCCTGGCTCCTGGAACCTGGGGCGGGACCCGGGCTGTTTGCCTTCCGACGCCCACCCCACGAGGAGAGCCCGGCGGCCGTTCCTGTGTCTCATCTGTGACTAAGCTCAGCCCCGGAACTGCTCAGGGAGGGCCAGCCAGCCTTCTTGGGAGAAGAAATGAAATCACCCAGAAAGCGCGTTGGGGACGATGAGGAAGTAGGCCCTGCCCGCACGTCTGCCTCCGACAGAACCAACTGGGAATAGGGAAACGCTGACAGCAAGCTCAGTGCCTGTCAGTCACACGGAACGCAGGTTACACGGAACGCAAGTTACACGGAACGCAAGTTACATGGAACGCAGTCACACGGAACACAAGTTACACGGAACGCAAGTTACATGGAACGCAGTCACACGGAACGCAGGTTACACAGAACGCAAGTTACACGAAATGCAAGTTACACGGAACACAAGTTACACGGAACATAAGTTGCACAGAGTGCAAGTCACACGGAACACAAGTTACAAGGAATGTAAGTCACATGGAACATAAGTTACATGGAATGTAAGTCACACGAATCTGCTGACTTCCCAGATTAAAGTCCATGTGACCACAAGACAAAACTTCTGTTGGGAAAAAACCATGTAACTATAGGTTTTCTACTTTTAAAATTTTAATCTTATTTTTTAATCCTCACGGGAGGGTATTTCCCCGTTGGTTTTAGGGAGAGTGGGAGAGAGAGGGAAACATCGAATGAGTGAGACACATCGATGGGCTGCCTCCTGCAGGAGCCGGGCCAGAGCCGGGGCCAGGGAGGAGCCTGCCGCCGAGGTCAGGGCGGAGGGGCAGGCACAGAGGCCGGGGCCGCAGCTCCGAGTGCCGGCTCTGATGCAGCCGTCATACCCCGTGACGGTCAGCCAGGCTCTGCTCAGCCGTCAGCCGTGGGCGGAGGGAACAGCGTGAGCAAAGCCTGTGCCCCCGGCTCTGACGACTCACGAGGAACGAGCCTGCCCGGAGGTCCCCGTGCTCTGACCGCGGCCGCCGTCCCGCGAGGCTCAGCTCCCCCGACAGCCTTTCTCAGGCTCGTCCTCTCTCACCCGTCGGTCCACATCCCCCTGTCGGTCCGTCCATCCCGAGTCCCCCTGTCGGTCTGTCCCTCTGTGCCTCGGTCTCGCCACCTCCCTCCCCCCTTCCTGGGAGGCAGGGCTGCGCCTGCACCCGCCTGCCCGCCGCCGGCCAGGCTCTCTGCTCCCCAGTCCTCCCTCCCAGGTCCCCGCCACCCGCTGTCCTGCTGAGATGACGCCGAGGCTCGGAGCCTTTCCGACCGCATCACCCGCGTCCTGGCTTCCTCGAGGCCTCGCCCGGGCAGCGGCGATGCCCACGCCGGGTGGGGGGGGAGGGGACAGCGGCGATGCCCACGCCGGGAGGGAGGGGACAGCGGCGATGCCCACACTGGGGGGACAGCGGCGATGCCCACGCCGGGTGGGGGGGGGGAGGGGGCAGCGGCGATGCCCACGCCGGGTGGGGGGGGGAGGGGGCAGCGGCGATGCCCACGCCGGGTGGGGGGGGAGGGGATAGCTGCGATGCCTACGCTGGGGGGACAGCGGCGATGCCCACGCCAGGTGGGGGGGGGCAGCGGCGATGCCCACGCAGGTGTGGGGGGAGGAGGGGACAGCGGAACGCCCACGCCATGGGCTCCAGCCTGAAGGTACAAATGGGAACCCCCTCCTCCCTTAGGGGGTGGAGGCAGGCCAGTGAGACCGTCCCATAGGCCCTCTCTGCCCTGGCCTCCTGCCACCCAGCTGCCCTCCCAGGCTCTGCTCCGCAGGAGGCCCAGAGCTGGAGCGGCTGCCCGGCTCCGTTCACCGCCCGCCTCCTGGGGGGCAGCGCTGACGAGGGAGCACAGGGACTGAGAGCCGCACGGGTGTGAGGTCAGGTCTGCGGCCAACGGGCTGGCCCTGGAGCCCCATCCCTGGTGCTTCAGGGAGGGGGTGTTCTGAGGAGAGAGAGGATCTAAATCAGGGATAAATCCTGAACTCTGGCCCTCCCAGGAGCGAGGAGGGTCCTGGGCCTGAAAGCCGTGGAGTGAGACCAGCCCCCAGGCTCTCAGCGGCAGGGGCGCTGGGTCCCGGTCTCAGCCTCCGGCCCACCTGGCCTTCTTGGAAGCCAGCCTTCCCCGCCCTGTGAGCGCCGGCTGTGAGGACAGACCCTGCTCCTCCAGAGCCTGGCTGAGACAGCGTTGGGGGAACACGGCCACAGAGTCTGCCGGAGGGGGAGCTGCCAGAGGGGGAACCTGACAGAGGGGGAACCTGCAGGAGGGGGAACCTGACAGAGGGGGAACCTGCAGGAGGGGGAACCTGACAGAGGGGGAACCTACAGGAGGGGGAACCTGCCAGAGGGGGAACCTGCAGGAGGGGGAACCTGGCAGAGGGGGGACCTGACAGAGGGGGGACCTGCCGGAGGGGGAACCTGCCAGAGGGGGGACCTGCCAGAGGGGGGACCTGCAGGAGGGGGGTAACCTGGCAGAGGGGGGACCTGACAGAGGGGGGACCTGCCAGAGGGGGAACCTGACAGAGGGCGGACCTGCAGGAGGGGAACCTGCCCAGGGGAGGGTTTGCTGCTTTGGCACCTGCAGCCCCGCGCAGAGCAGGTCCCGCGAGGGGGACCAGCCTGACTGAGCCGAGGTCGTGAGGAAAGGCCGGAGGCAGGGGGCGGTTTTGATCGTGTTTAATGAAAAAGAAGGTACATGAATAGAAACAGACACAAAACAAAGAGATTGAGGGGGGCAGGTGGTGGTAAGCAGGACGAGGGAACCGCCTGTGAATCCTGAATTTACGCATAGATTTCCATTCATTATTTCGACCCCAAACGCCTCGTTAAGCCCAAAACAGAGCAGTCGCCACCATCGCGCTGATGTCTTCCTGAGGACAAGACAGCGTCTACACGCTCCCCGCGTTTCCTGGCCCGAGCACCCGGGGGGCACGCTCGGGCCTTTCCCTGCTCCTAGGCCGCAGCAGCCGCGCCGCCGGCGTTTGGCGCAGCCCGCGCTAACGCTCTCGCGAGGAAGCGTCGGTGCTACGCGCCCGCTTGTTCCTGGACAGTCCCCGCGGACGGCTGGCTGTGGACATGGGCACCTCGGGAGGCTCTGCTCGCCAGGGGAGACGTGACGTGCAGGCCGCACAGTGAGCGCCAGCGGCTGGCGCGTGGCTCAATCCTGTGAGTGGAGCCGTCGGTACCCTGTTTCCGTCCTGTCTCCTAACTGAGAAGAAGCGCGTGGGGGACAGATTGTGACACACACGCGGCAGTGGGTTTGCTTTTGTTACCTTATTTAACGCAAGATCTCCCTCCCGGGGCCAGACCTCGACGTGCCTGGCTCAGAGAGGGGCAGCTCAGAGAGGCCCGGCTCAGAGAGGGGCAGCTCAGAGAGGGGCAGCTCAGAGAGGGGCAGCTCAGAGAGGGGGCAGCTCAGAGAGGGGGCAGCTCAGAGAGGCCCGGCTCAGAGAGGGGCAGCTCAGAGAGGGGCAGCTCAGAGGGGGGCAGCTCAGAGAGGGGCAGCTCAGAGAGGGGCAGCTCAGAGAGGGGCAGCTCAGAGGGGGGCAGCTCAGAGAGGGGCAGCTCAGAGAGGCCCGGCTCAGAGAGGCCCGGCTCAGAGGCAGCGGATGAGGGTGGCCGGAGGGGGACGGCGGGGATGGGGGGCAGGGCCCCGGGGGGGTGCGGCGGGGACGGGGGGACGGGCCCCCGGGGGGGGGGGTGGCGGGGGGCGGGGGCGCCGCGCTAGGACGAGCCCTGCCGCTTCTGGTACTGGACGCGGAGCTTCTCCAGCTGCTCCGCGCACTGGGACTGCGCCAGCTTCAGGGAGCGGTTCTCCTCCGTCAGCGCCTCGAACTCTCGGGCCAGCTGGGCGGCGTCCACCTTCTCCTCCTCCGCCTGCGCCAGCTTCGCAAGGAGCTCCTTCCTGCGGGCGGAGGGGAGAGCACACGCTGAAACGCACGCGTGTAAAGGCACAGAGGAGCCCGCTCCCCCATCTCACCCTCTGCCCAGCCTCCCTTTATTTGTTATATTTATTTGTTATATTTTTTCATCGACTCTTTGGAGAGAGAGGAAGGGAGAAGGAGACAACGATAAGAACATCGATGAGAGAGACACATCATCCAGCAGCTGCCGCCTGCAACCCAGGCAGGTGCCCTGTCCCAGAATCAAACTGGGAATCAAACTCGCGGCCTCTTGGTTCCTGGCTCGATGCTCACCCGCTGAGCTACGTCGGCCGGGCCTTGGCCACGGGTCCTTTCGGTCCTGGCGCCTCTGAGACACTCAAACCAGAAAACGCTCCAGGCACCCTTCGGCCCTCGGGATTCTGACCTTTTGTGGGTGCAGCAAAGAATGACAGCTAGGTGGGGGGACCGAGGAGACCTGCTACGGCTAAGACGTGCCCAGTGCCCATGTGGGGAGCGGTGCTTGCGCTCAGGCTCCTCCAGAGGCAGGCACCCCCGCTCTCTCCGTTCGGAGTTGAACAAAATCAGCACTAACTCTTGGGACTAAGAATTCCGCCCCCTCCCGGCCGCTCTCCCTGACCCTGCGGTCCGTCCTGCCGCCGTGTCTGTCCTGTTGCTGCAGGTAGAGAACTAGGAAGCGGCTGGAGGGACCGGAGGGACGTGCAGGGACTAGAGCTCAGTCCTCAGTAAGAACCGTAAACAATGCAGTAAGCCCGGCCGGCGGGCGCAGGGGCTGGGCTTCGACCTATGAACCTGGAGATCAGGGTTCAATTCCTGTCGGGCACAGGCCCTGTTGTGAGCCCGATCCAGGGCAGGCTGTGCAGGAGGCAGCGATCCGTGATTCTCTCTCATCATGGATGATGAGAATTGATACTTCATCAGGAGTTACTAGAATCAGGACTTACTTTATTGATAGGTTTCTAAATTAGTGTCGTGCGTTTGCTAAGCAATTATGCATGTAGTCAATGATCCTGTCAGAACGTAAAAAAAAAAAAAAAAAAAAAAAAAAAAGCCTAGAAATAAAACAGACTCAGGGATTGTCTAAAGATGTAAGAATGCTTAGTAATTTTTTTAAAAAGCTTTCAATAAAATTGCCCTTTTTTCCCCAACTGAAAAGAAAAAAATGCCAATAAAAGTAAACGCAGGCTTTTCTCATGTGCCTGGTGAATGGGCCAGAAGTAACCACTTACAGTCACTCTGCTGAGTTTATGATGTGAAAAACGTCCACCTATTCAATACCAGAACTTGTTTACACCATCTCCCTGCGGCTCTGCAGCCTCCCACACGTGGCCCCGGCGACCCCTGCTGGAGGAGGGAGGAAGCTCGGCCTGGGGCAGCGAGCCCGGAGCTCCTGGGAGGAGCAGGCCCAGGCCCTGGCACTCGCCGTCCTCACCTGGGCGGCCCCTTCGGGAAGTGACAGGAAGACACTCGTCAGATACAGCCGTCCCTCCGGGACCCTGGCAGGACCCATCTCCTTGTTATCACAGGATGTAACCATGCTTCCTGCCCAGCAATGTGCCTTCGCCTTCACTGCTGATATTAACTCCGTGTTTTAGATACAGGCCACAGAAATTCCAAATGACATATGTGCACGGAGGTTGTTACAGTCTCCCATAAGCACTGTAAGTAACCACTCTAAATCTCACACACACACCCACGCCCACACCCACACCCACACACTCACACACTCACACATACACACACTCACACACACACTTACACATACACACACTCACACATACATACACACATACACACATATGTATACACACATGCACACACTCACACACTCATACATACACACACTCACACACACATACACATACTCACACACACATACACATACACACACTCACACACATACATATACACTCACACACATACACATACATATGTGTACACACATACACACACTCACATACACATACATATGTATATACATACATGCACACACTCACATACACACACTCACACACATACACACACTCACATACACATACATATGTATATACACACATGCACACACTCACACATACACACACGCTCACACATACACTCACTCGCCTACATGCACTCACACACACATATGTATATACACGCATGTACACACATACACATATGTATATACACACATGCACACACATACACACTCACATACACATACATATGTATATACACGCACATACACATACACATACACACGCTCACACACACATATTCATACACATGTATGTATATACACACGTGTGTGTGCGCGCACACACACACACACATGCCCTGCTGCAGCCCACTGGGGGGCTGGGATTGGAGTCTGCAGGGAGAAGACCAGAAGGGTAACTACTGATGGCAACCAGCTACAAAAGTGCCAGAAGTAGCCCAGAGGGCGTGGCTCGGGGTTGAGCATTGTCCTGTGAGCCAGGAGGTAAGGTTTGAGTACAGGTCAGGGCACAGGCCTGGTTGCGGCTCCATCCCCAGGGGGAGGCGTGCAGGAGGCAGCCAATCGATAATTGTCTCACTGATGTTTCTGTCTCCCTCTCCCTTCCTCCCTGAAGTGAATAAGAACACACATTGAAACACACGCCCACCCCGTGGCCCACACCTACTTCCTCTCCTCCAGCTGCGCGATCTCCTGCCGGACCTCGCGGTACTCCTCGGCGATCTGGCAGTGCTGCCGGAAGACCTGCATGGACTCCAGGGAGTCATGGCTGGGTGGCAGGGGCTGGGAGCGAGACGAGGAGTCAGTCCGCGTTCTCGCTCACGAGGAATAGTCACCTCTGCCTCCGTGTCCTTGGGGGCTGGCAGAGAACAGCAGAGCCAGCAGCATCCCACCGGGTCTATTGGACGGAACCAGCCCCCCACGCCCCTTCCAGAGCCAGCCACGCGGCCCCACACAGTCACCATGGGCGGTTCCGGGTCTGTGTGTGTGGGCCCGGGCTGTCTGTCCCACAGCCCAAGGACACGAAGGAGGAGGGGAGGACAGGACCAGCCCGAGGGGAGGATGGAGGAGGGGAGGACAGGACCAGCCCGAGGGGAGGAAGGGGGAGGGGAGGATAGGACCAGCCCGAGGGGAGGAAGGGGGAGGGGAGGACAGGACCAGCCCGAGGGGAGGATGGAGGAGGGGAGGACAGGACCAGCCCGAGGACAGGAAGGAGGAGCAGGAGGACACAGGCAGCATGGCCACCTCACTCCCTAACACATGGACAAGCCTGGCTTTCCTAAGTTTATAATTTGGATTTCCAGTTAGCAACAGGTTATTAAAATCACTATTTTTAGAAACTCTCGTTACTAGTCTTTTAAGTCGCTTTTAAAATCACCCCTTTCAATTATTTCTAGAAAAAAAGTGTTATATGATAGCTGAGAAATAGGAACTCATTGCTAGCTCTTCTGTCTCACCACGGTGGCCTCGGCATGTGACTGCGTGTCTGCCTGGTCGTGTGCTCACCTTTCCCGTGTTGGTAACTTGGGAACGAGTGAACGTCTCACTGCTGCGCCTCGCACTACATTCTGCAAGAACACGGACCTTCTGGGTGTCAGAGTTGGGGACCCCACCAGGTACAGTAGAGATTCTATAGTTTATTGTCTGGTGGGTGAATGAAATGACTCTCCTCATTTATCCCGAGGCCTCTGGGTAGAGACTTTTAAAAGAAGTAAATTTTTGAAATGGATTTGGAGGAAATGTACATCTGTTGTGTCCCAATCAATTGTAAATATAATAACGATTACGTTCTGTAGCATCTTTCCCCCATGGGCACCTCGCAGCGTGGGCTCAGGCTGCTGGGACAACCCCTTTGTGTCTAAAGGCCTGTGGCTCTAACGCCTCAAGGACCAGAGGCCGGCGGGTGGGCGGGGCCACGCTGTTGCGCCCTGGGCTTCTAGCATAGCCAGGAGCTGGAAAGTCAGGCCGGGCAGTCCTACAGCGCGGCTCACCCTGCCAGAGAGAGCTGCCGCCAGGGGGATCCAGAGCTCCTGGCCCTCCCAGTCTGCCCTGGAACTCACCAGCTCATCAATTCTCACCTGTTCCACTGGCAAATGACCAGGGAGGAGAATGAAAGCAATTTGCTCTGGGCAGCTGAGCTGCGCGTAAGGGCCCAGGCCTTGCAGGGGTGGCGTGTGGGGAGGCCTGAGACGCCGTGCACCTGTGTCCCGGCCTCATGAAGCCTGCACACCACACCCGGTTCAGTCAGTAACTTGCCACCATGGGAGTCTGACTCGCAGAGTCAGCTGTTACCTATGTGATGGCAAAAGGTTCCAGGGCCCTGGGGCTGCAGACCAGAGCAGCCACGATAAAGGGGACCTGCCCTTTGCTGCCACGATGTAAAAGGAAAACTGAAAATTAGACGTAATTTTCTTAAGAAGAGAAAGGCTCCTCCCCCACTCCCCTCAGCTTTTTATTAACTGGAATTTTTTCACGGGTTCTGTTATAGATATACATACACACACATATATGTGCATGTATATATAGTATATACATGTAATTTTTATTTATCTTAGAGAGAAAGGAAGAGGGAGAGAGGTACAGAAACACCAATGATGAGAGAATCATTGATCTGCTGCCTCTGAATGCATAATAATCTGGCCACTCGATATATATATATTTATATTAGAGGACTGGTGCATGAATTCATGCGTGGGTGGGGTACGGCCAGCCTGGCCAGGTGGAGGGGATATGGACAGTTGGCCGATCTGCCTGCTGGTCAAACTCCTGGTCAAGGGGACAATTTGCATATTAGCCTTTTATTATATAGGATATACACTGAGTGGCCAAATGATTATGCATTCAGAGATCATCAGCATCTAACCACTCAGTGTGTGTGGCCAACAGTGTCCATGGACAGATTTGCCTGAGGAAACAGATTCCTGAAATTCAAGCACCAGAATCAAGTTTCCACTTTGAAAGCAGAGCAACCAGCTAGCTTCCGTCGTGTGACGCGTAGAACATGGGCACGGAGGAGTTAACTGGCCCCCATGTGCTTAAGATACTAACACTAGAAACCTAAAAGCATCTTCACAGAAAGCCCTGGTGACCGGATGAAACAGTCGGTTAACTTCGTGGAAGAAGAATTAACACTTTTATTTTTGCCTCCGTTCTCATTGCTTAATTTTAACTCTTCTCATCCGAGAGGTCTTTGTAGTTATTTCCGGGCTGGGAGCGCACGAGCAATAAATAAACTCTGCGGGGATGAGAATGAGGAGGAGAAGTTCTTATTTTCTCCCCAACGAGCCCAGCCTCCCACACGCCGCTGGGGAGTGCAGTACCGCATCCCCAGGAGGGGAGCTGAGGATCCCTGACGGAAGAGGAGGCCTCACGGACAAGCGCACACACTGCGCGGATCACGGGACAACTCTGTGCAGACCCGCCCAGGCCCCGGGCACCTGTTCCGCTCCACACGTCCGGTCCTCTGAAGGTGAATTAAGACGTTCTCCTAACGGCATCTCAGGCCCATGCGGGGACACTTTTCCAGACACAGCCCGGGTTTGCGTGAGGTCAGAGCCCTGGAGGGCGCTTCCTCCCGCCCTCCCCACCCGCCTGCCCAGCTGCTGGGACGGGCTTCCAGGGGCTTTAATTACAGGCAGGGAGGTGAGCCCCACCCACGCCGAGGCCAGATTTAACGAGATGAAGTAACAGAAACCGCAGGCCGCTGGCCACGGTGCAGGGCAGCGGCCTCCTGCGATGGCCCCGGGCCCGGACCGCCCCGGGGGACAGGCCCTGCCAAACCTCTCCGCACGGGGCGGAGCCAGCTTCAGCGTTTCCGTTTTCTCCTTGGCTCCTTCCAGTACTACTGGCCCCTCCACCTTGAACATGTAAGCAGTTGACGTTCCTCTCCAGCTTCCCACACACGAGATATATTTAGGGAGCTAAATATTCTATGGTTGCTAAGCAGGCTTCATATTTATTCCTTAATTCTCGATGTTACCTTTCATTTGGGGGGGGGGGGGAGCAGAGTGGTTTAAATTTATGTTGCACTTTATTTTTTAATGTATTTTTATTGATTTAAGAGAGGAATGGAGAAGGAGAAAGAGATTGAAACATCAGTGATGAGAGAGAATCATTGATCAGCTGCCTCCCTAATGGGGATCAAACCCTGGACCCGTCCGTGCACATACAGGCCAGTGCTCAGCCACTGAGCCAGACTGGCTAAGGCTATGTGGCACCTTAATGGCCCTAAATTAAGAAGCATAATTTGTTAAAACTAAATGGAAAAAATACTCAGCACTAATTGTAATATTTGGAAATGCTTAGAGTTTTAAATATTTTTAAAACATTTTATAGCATCTACATGATGGTCAAGGTCAGCACTCGTAAATGTGCAGCGTCCCTTATATAACATCGGAACAAAGACTATTTAAGTCATTCCTGTTGGCATAAGCAATGCCACAGGGTGATAACTCAAGAGTGTCCCTTGCCCTAGCTGGTTTGGCTGAAATTTGTGGGTCCAGCCTGCAGACTGAAGAGTCCTCAGTTCGATACCAGCCAAGGGCACATGCCTGGGTTTCAGGCTCGTCCCCAGTAGGAGGCATGCAGGAATCAGCCAATCAGTGATTCTCCCTCATCATTGATTTTCCTATCTCTCTCTCCCTCTCTCTTTCTCTCTAAAATCAATTTTTAAAAATGTACATTTTTAAAAGAGTCTCTCAAAGTTTTCCTACAAGGCATATCCCACTGACCAAGGACAGAAGGCACCATGATAGAGTCGAAAGATCTGTGTGTATTTCTCTGTGGTCACAGCAGCTTCGGACTCCACAGGGTGCTGATCAGCGAGTCTGAGAGGGAAAAGCAGCCGTTCCCGCTGGATGGTGGAGAACCCTGGAAGGCTGACTTCCGTTCCGTGTCCTAGCTTCCTGCCCCAGCCAGCGGGACCTACTGATGCAAGACCTAAAAGCAGTCTCTGGAGGGACTGCTCGGATAACAGGATATTACCGTCCACACTGTGTATTTGTGGAGGTGACCTCAGCCCCTGGACGGACCGGACACCGTCTGAGGAGCGGCCAGCTCAGCGTGTCCCACCACCTTCCTGTTTCATGGACACATGATTGTACAACCTTCGATGCCTCCCTCAGTGAGCACCTCGTTAGGGAGGAGAATTACCATGAGCTGAGCTGAGCGTTGGTCTGGCCAAGCTCTGTGCCTGAGCCACTCCGTCACACAGCCGACCCACCACGGTGACTCGGGCGTGGCATCATCTCCACGCTGCAGCTCCAGGGAGCGAGGCTTAGAGAGTGAGTAGCCGTCATTCCCCGGGTCACAGAGTGAGCGGGGTGGAGCTGAGCGCCAGTCCTGGCCAGGCCAACGCCACACCTGATCCCATCAGCAACCACTTGTGAGCTTAGCCGACACTGGTTATAAAAACGGGCTCCTTTTGGCTCAGTGGTAGAGCGTCGGCCTGCGGACTGAAAGGTCCCGGGTTCGATTCCAGTCAAGGGCATGTACATTGGTTGCAGGCACATCCCTGGTAGGGAGTGTGCAAGAGGCAGCTGGTTGATGTTTCTCTCTCATCGATGTTTCTAGCTCTCTATCCCTCTCTCTTCCTCTCTGTAAAAAAATCAATAAAATAGCCGGGACCGGTTTGGCTCAATGGATAGAGCGTCGGCTTGGGGACTGAAGGGTCCCGGGTTCGATTCCGGTCAAGGGCATGTACCTTGGTTGCGGGCATATCCCCGGTGGGGGGTGTGCAAGAGGCAGCTGATCGATGACTCTCTCTCATCGATGTTTCTAACTCTCTATATCTCTCCCTTCCTCTCTGTATAAAATCAATAAAATATATTTTTAAAAAAATCAATAAAATATATTTTTTTAAAAAAATGGGCTCCTGCCGAAACTGGTGTGGCTCAGTGGATAGAGAGTCAGCCTGTGGACTGAAGGGTCCCGGGGTCGATTTTGGTCAAGGGCATGTACTTGGTTTCGGGCACATCCCCAGTGGAGGGTATGCAGGAGGCAGCTGATAGATGTTTCTCTCTCATCGATGTTTCTAGCTCTCTCTCCCTCTCCCTTTTTCTCTGTAAAAAAAATCAATAAAATATATTTAAAATAAAAATTTAAAAAACGGGTTCCGCGTTCCAGGGCTCATAATCAAGACGCCACTGCGGCCTAGCTCTGCAGCACCCACAGGCCATTCCGTGGTCTCCCAAACACAGCGGCAGCATGACTAGATTTGAAGGCAAATTCGGTCCTGACCCCGTTACATTCCAGCCCTGTCTTTCCAGAGAGGGGAGTCAGCGTGACCTTTTCCAAACGGAAGGGCGCGGGGGCCTGAAGACCTTTCATTCATTCTTAGAAGTGGACTCAACTGGCCCCTGCATGGCCTCAACGCGCTGGCCCACACCGGCCTCTGATGGGCGTGGAGGATTTAGAAACCCATTTCCAGGAAAGGAATCCACACAAAATAGAACCGACCGGCACCTGCCCCTGGGCCGAGGCCGTGGCCCATAAATGAATTTCATGGCGGGAAGTGCGTTTCCACACCTGCCGTGCCCGGGCCCTCTTGCCCAGCCTCTTGCATTAATAGAGACGTCAAGAGCGGTGTCGGTCACGGCTATTCTTGCTCGGGGCTGTTTTGAGCTTCTGTGGAAATAGAAGCGGCACGCATTTCATGCTCAAACATGTCCACATTCTTGGCAAAGTCACAGAAACCCTGGGGTCAGATGGTGGTGGAGGACCCACCACGTGGCTATTTTACAGCCGAGTTCTGTGAGTTGAGTGACTGTGGAATGTGTGAGCTCTCAGAAAGTAAGAACAGGTTTTATGAGGTTGTTCTATGACCCTGCCATGAGCCCTTGCAAACCAGAAACAAACAAAAAATCGTACACCTATCAAAGCAACATGAGCGACCACAGGCTTCACAGCAACGGAGGAGGGGGAGAGAGAAGCATCAACATGAGAAACACGATTGGTTGCCCCCCCACACACCCCGACCGGGGCTGGGGATCGAACCTGCAACCCAGGTCCCTGCCCTTGACCGGGAATTGAACCACACCCCTCCGGTCCAGGGGCCGATGCTCTAACCACTGGGAACACAGCCGGCCCATCAAATAGCCTGGACGGCAGAGAGCTCCAGCAGAAAGGACTGTGACAGGGGCCAGGAGATGGCTGTTGTCTCGCCTCCCCGGCCAGACCACCGGCAGCCGGACAGCCCGAGGCCCAGCAGGAGCACGTGCGGGGTGAGCACGCGGACGGAACGCAGGCAGAGCGATGTGAGGAGAGGAAAGGGGATTGTGGACGCCAGGAGGCAGGGGCGGGTGGCAGGTCCCCAGGGGACGAGGAGAAGCCAGAGGCGGGCGCTGGGGCTGCAGGGGACACTCGAGAGAACAGAGAAGCCTTCCGACAGCGAGTGTGCCTCCTGTGACCCCACGCTGGGCGACCTCCGGCATCTCCACCCGACACCGCTCTGCTGGGCAGAGACAGGGCCCGGCAGGCTGGGGGGAGGCCCTCCAGAGGCCACCGCAGGGCACCGCAGCGTCCGGGCTTCCAGCTCTGGCACGGCTCCGGGTGAGAACTGGCCGAGGACGGGGGACACCAGGTGGGTGACCGGGACACCAGGTGGGTGACCGGGCCATCCTGTTCTTCCTGCCACCGAGGGCTCTGGGTTCCCAACTCCAGTGCCTCCACGGACAGGCCCAGTCTGGGGGGACGGCGCTGGGTGCGAGGAAACGCCGGGGCTGCTGGGACCTGGAGATTGCAGCCCCTCCAGGGGCTTTCAGACACAATATTTAGAGAAAATACGTGGTCCATGTGCAGGATGTGAGCCTGGGCTGGCCTCGCAATGACCTCGACCTGAGTGATGACCTCAGCCTGTGCAATGACCTCAACCCATGTAATGACCTTGACCTGTGTTACGACCTCAACCTTTGCAATGACCTGTGAACCATATAATGACCTCGACCTGTGCAATGACATCAATCTGTGCAATGACCTGTGACCCATGTAATGACCTTGACCTGTGCAATGACCTGCAGCCTGTGCGTGGCCCAAAGGGGAGTGGACGCTGCGTGGCCCAGACAAAGGGGTGGACGGCACGTCCCAGGCCCAGGGCCCCTCCTCCCGACCCCCTCCCACACAGGAGCGGCAGCTCTGCATGTCTCAGCCGGTTGGTGCTGAGGCCACAGGCAGGCGAGCGCCGGGGCCTGGCCTCCGTCTGCCTCCGGCCGCAGCCCAGCTCCGGGCTGTGAAGCGAGAAGGGGGGTGCGGAGAGCCTCACCTGCAGCTGCTGGTCTAGTTCCGGGAAGAGCAGCGCGGGGTCCTCCGGAGGGGCGCCATCTGGAAGGGGAGATCGGACTGTCACTCTGGACCCTTCCCCGGCTGAGCCGTGGCACCGGCCCCGCTGGTCTGTCCCTCCCGTGGGAGACGGAGCGGCCAGCACACACAGTGGCCGAGCCGAGGGGGCCGGGACCAGCCTTTCACAAATGTCCCTGGTTGTTCTCCAGTGTAAAAGGGTCTGGCCCGGATGGAGGCTCAGTGGTTAGCGTGTCAGCCGGGGGGGGGGGGGGGGGGAGTAGGTGAGGGGGAGGGTTCAGTTCCCGGTCAAGCACACGCACCTCGGTGGCAGGTCTGATGCCAGGCCGTGGAAAGCAACCAATCACTGTGTCTCTCTCGTCTCAATGGTTTTCTCTCTCCCCTCCCTCCTTCCCTTTCATGCTCTCTAAAAAATCAATTGAAAAAATATCCTCTGATGAGAATTGACAAAAAAGAACAGCCTGGCCAGTGTGGCTCAGTGCCTGAGCATCCACCTCTGAGCCAGGAGGTCACTGTTCAGTTCCCAGTGGACTCCATCCCCAGGGTGGGGCGTGCAGGAGGCAGCTGGCCAATGATTCTCTCTTACCAGTGTTTGTTTTTTAAAATATATACTTTATTGCTGTTTTACAGAGAGGAAGAGAGAGGGAGAGCCAGGCTTTGGTTTTAAAAGTGAATCAAGTGGGATTAATCCCAGCAGGAAGTGGCAGCGGCGGCGAGAAAACCACAGACAGATGTGAGGAGGCGCGCCAGCGGGTGCTCGGGCCATCTGCTGCCTTGGCAGCCCGGCCGCCGGCCGCGCCAGGCCCCGGGATGTGTGGCCTGTTTACTCGCAAACAGTGGCCGCCCGCTCCAGCGGGCTTTAAAATAGGCGAATGGGCTAAAAGCGGGCGGTGAGTCACGGGCCGGCGCGGGGAGAGGCGGTGACTCAGCCGGGCACAGCTGTGGACCTGGCCCAGCGCGGGACCTTGGCGGGCGGCGCTGGACCGGCTCCGGAGGGCGCAGCCCGTGGATTCCGGAAGCCAAGGTGCGGGTACAGTAGCGAAGCCGGAGCCTCCCCCACCCCCGGCAATTTCCCTTTTTTAAAGAAGAAAAGCAGCCCCCACGTTTGTTTAGAATGGAACAAGACCGGATGCAAGCATATCTGGTTCAAATTTACTTATTTGCCCGATTATCTTCATTAATGTTTCTCTCCCCCCCCCTCCTCTCTGAAATCAATAAAAACTTACTTTTTTAAAAATTTATTTACCGAATATTGATTGAATGCCGTGACAAGGGCTCTAGGCTAAATCGGCAAATCACTTTATCGTATTTTAACGTTTTGAGGAAATCATTCCTAGGCTCCCTTTTCAAAAGGGTGCAGTGGGCTTGGTGGTCACACTGGGGGGGGGGGGGGAGACGGGCGGGCGGGGGGAACCGCTGAGGATGAACTTTAGGAGGGATTAGAGCGGAGTGTGGATAAGCAGATGGTTGCTGAGTGGATGGAGCAGGCGATGGGACTAAGTCAGCGGCACCTAAAATAGAGCTTCCGCCAGCCCATTCCCTGTGCCCTGGACGTCATCTCGGCCCACCGAGCAGCTGCCGGCTGTCCTGTCCCTTTTTTTTCTTAGTATATGTCATTGATTTTTTACAGAGAGGAAGGGAGAGGATAGAGAGTTAGAAACATTGATGAGAGAGAAACATCGATCAGCTGCCTCCTGAACACTCCTACTGAGAATGTGCCGGCAACCAAGGTACATGCCCTTGACCGAAATCGAACCTAGGACTCTTCAATCCGCAGGCTCTATCCATTGAGCAACACCAGCCAGGGCTGTTCTGTCTCTAAACGCCCTCATTGCATTTTTCTGCAACCGAGTACGTGGGGCCTGTCACCAGATCCCCCCCGCTCCGCAGTAACTGGACCTGCACAAGGGAGGCGCTGAGCGGCCGTCTGACCGGCCTCTGGGTGCGGAGGCCGGAGTGTTCCGCCTGGGGCCCCACCTCCCTCTGACTTCCTCCCTCTGGTCCCTGACCCACGGCACACACACGGAGCCCCCGCAGCTCCCCCCAGACCCTGGGGACCGTGTGGTCAGCATCCTCAGGATGGAACACCGACTCACAAGACTGATGAGTCGGCCAGAAGAGCCCGTTCATCGGTGAACGTACTTTGCAGGTAAAACAAACCCTGAGGAGTCCTCCCTGCTGAGTCCTCATTTCCTGTTTTACATCCAAGAGGTGACAACTCAGCCCAAACCGACCCGTGTGCACGGCATCCGAGCCCTGCTCTGCCGGCCACCTGCCAGACTCCCCCCACGTGGTCCCCACCCAGGCACACCGGGGGCCAGGAAACCCACTCCTCCGGAGGACCCCCCCAGGAGCCGGCTCAGGGGCAGCCACCTTCTTCCCTCCCAGCCGGGAGTCTGAGGGCCCCCGCTCACACGCCCTCCCGTCCACCGGAGGACAGGTCATGGACAGGCCGTGGACAGGCAGTGGACAAGCCGTGGACAGGCCATGGACAGGCCGTGGATGGACTGTGGACAGGCCGTGGACATGCCATGGATAGGCCGTGGTTGGCCCGTGGACATGCCGTGGACATGCCGTGGACATGCCGTGGACAGTGGACAGGCCGCGGACAGGCTGTGGACAGGCCATGGACGGACTGTGGACAGGCCGTGGACAGGCCGTGGACAGTGGAGTGCCACAGGCAGGCCGTGGACGGGCCGTGGACAGGACGTGGACAGGACATGGACAGGACGTGGATGGACTGTGGACAGGCCGTGGACATGCCATGGACATGCCATGGATAGGCCCTGGTTGGCCCGTGGACAGGCCGTGGACAGTGGAGATGCCACGGACAGGCTGTGGACAGGCTGTGGACAGGCCGTGGACGGACTGTGGACAGGCCGTGGACAGGCTGTGGACAGGCCGTGGACAGTGGAGCGCCACAGGCAGGCCGTGGACAGGCCGTGGACATGCCGTGGACAGGCTGTGGACAGGCCGTGGACAGGCCTGCACGGAAGCCATCGGCTTTCCCAGTGAGCGGGGAGAATTGACGTGACCTCTCTGAGACACAGTTCTCTCCTCCTGCCTCAGGACCAGACACTCCAATGATAACAACCAGTGCTTAACACCAGGTCAGCTCCCACTCCCGTTCCCCATCAGCCGGACCAAAGGGTAAGGTGGGGGGTGCAAGCCTGCGGCCACGGGGCGGACGGCCCCTTTTCCTCGTCGGAGAACAGAGAGAACAAGCCCTGCCCCTCGGCTCTGGGCCATGAGGGGCGTCGCTGGTTCGGGGGTTTGCTCTTTCCGTCTAAACCTCAATGTGGAACGGTCTCCCTGACACCCTCCCATCGAGCAAACACTTTCTGCGAGAAATGTTGCCCCAAGTTTCACAGGTGCACAAAGGGCTTCGAGCACTTTCCGATCTAAACTGAGATGAATGCTTTATTTATGGAAGTAAAAAAGTGCTCCACGGCTGCCGACCCACGTGAATAACACGTCAAAAGGCTTTGTTAAAGCCACGCCGCTCTGAACCACATCGAAAGCTTTTTAAACCTGTTTCCTGCGATCGGGGCCTCAGAGGCATGCACCCCGTACTGCCCACGGGGTCTCAGCGGTGCAGGGCAGCCGATGTGGGTAGAGACAGGGACAGGTCGGGACGTGGCATGGCCCTGGGCAGACTGCCAGTTCTTTGTCGTTATTATTGGTATCATCACGTGACCTCAGCCAGCACTGGCACCATCAGGCCCACAAGGTCGAGCGTGAAACAGCCGGCGTGGTCCCCGCGGGGATGGGACCAGTTTGAGGCAGGCTTTGTCTCTCTTCAGAGCCGTCCCTCCGGCCGCCGTTATTGCCGCCATCGTTCTGTGACTCTTACCCATCATCCTCTGTGAGAACGTCCTCACTAACTCAGCTTAGCGCCCTTACCCAGAAACACCTGCTTCACAGAGTCCACGGGAGGCATTACCATCAGGTAAAACGTGCCCCCACGTCCCTCCTCTCTTCCTCCAAAGCCTCAGAACTGGCCTTCCTCCGCCACCGCCACCCCGGCCGCCCTGCTCTCACGGCACGTGCTTCTCTCTTTCACTTTCCTAAATGTTTTTATTGACGTCAGAGGGAGCGACCGAGAGAAACATCAGTGATGAGAGGGAATCTGCCTCCTGCACGCCCCACACCGGGGATCCAGCCCACACCCCGGGCCTGTGCCCTGACCGGGAATCGAACCGGAGGGAGAGGGGAAGGAGGAGGAGAAAGTAGAAAAACAGACCTAACACGGCTGAGGGAATGAGCCGGTTATTAGGCTCCTAAGACATGAACAAGTCAACAGTCCCAGGCAAAAGGAGTCCTTTCTCACGACTCAGCTTATCCTCAACCATCAGCTCGAGGCCATGAAATTGCTCCCTAAGGTCCACCCTGGCTGTCCCACGTCCTGTGAAAGTCGGGGTGTGTCCCCTGAACGTGGGGTGCGTCCGCCACACGCACTGGAGTCCAAAGGGCAGCACAGTGTGAGGAGGGCATTGCTGCCCTTGTGACCTGGATCCCAGGACGCGCCCCCACTATGCGCACGCCAGCCCTGCGGCATGACCTGGATTCCCAGGGTGCACCCCACTATGCGCACGCCAGGCTGCAGACCTGCCTCCATCTGGGCACCGTTGAAAGGTGGGCAGACGGTGGCCCCTGCTGGGTGCCCTGTGAGAGGTGCCCTTTCCGCCGACAGAGCTGCGGTCAGGACGGCGGGCTCAGCCCCTCGTGTGGCTTCGTGGGGGTGAATGCCCCTTCCGGTCACTCACTGCCCCAGGAGCACTGCGTGGGCACCGTGGAAGGAGGGGCTGACGGGGAGACAAGGGCAGATGGATGGGAAGACAGAGGAACCAGCCCTCAAAAGACACGTCTCGGTGGCCATGGTGTTTGTGCCTAGGCCTACATATTACACGTGTGTGTACACATGTACAAGTGTGTGCACACATGTACACCATACACACCACGTACAGGGTGTCCGCCAGAACGTACACACACTCTCACAGATGCCTCGTTCTGGAGATGAAGTGGTTTGTAATAAGCATTGCCGTTAGCTGTTCAACATGTATGTGCATTTGGGGGACGCCCTGTGTATGCCGTGCACAGATAGGACCCTGGCTGAGGGCCACAGCTGACACGCGTGGACATGCGAGCCTCCCTGGTCACTGCCATGACACACCCCGAGGTCCGGCCAAAGGGGTGCGACTCCAGCTGTGTGAGGAGTCCCTGAGGGCGGGGGACGGGGCTCTGTGCAGGCCACCTCCTCTCCCTCGCCCTGGAGAGGCCCCTCGCCTGCCCACACACCACCCCTCACCCCCCTCACCTGCCACCAGCTCCCCCCCACCTACCCACACACCACCCCCCTCAACCCCTCACCTGCCCACCAGCACCCTCTCACCTGCCCACACACCACCCCTCTCACCTGCCCACACACCACCCCTCTCACCTGCCCACCAGCTCCCCCCTCACCTGTCCACACACCACCCCCCTCACCCCCCTCACCTGCCCACACACCACCCCTCACCTGCCCACACATCACCCCCCTCAACCCCTCACCTGCCCACCAGCACCCTCTCACCTGCCCACACACCACCCCTCTCACCTGCCCACACACCACCCCTCACCTGCCCACCAGCTCCCCCCTCACCTGTCCACACACAACCCCCCTCACCCCCCTCACCTGCCCACACACCACCCCTCACCTGCCCACACACCACCCCCCTCACCTGCCCACACACCACCCCCTCACCTGCCCACACACCACCCCTCACCCCCCTCGCTTGCCCACACACCACCCCCCTCACCCCCCTCACCTGCCCACACACCACCCCTCACCTGCCCACACACCACCCCCCTCACCTGTCCACACACCACCCCTCTCACCCCCCTCACCTGCCCACACACCACCCCCCTCACCTGTCCACACACCACCCCTCTCACCCCCCTCACCTGCCCACACACCACCCCCTCACCTGTCCACACACCACCCCTCACCCCCCTCGCCTGCCCACACACCACCCCCCTCACCTGCCCACACACCACTCCTCATCCCCCTCGCCTGCCCACACACCACCCCCCTCACCCCCCTCACCTGTCCACACACCACCCCCTCACCCCCCTCACCTGTCCACACACCACCCCCCTCACCCCCCTCACCTGTCCACACACCACCCCCCTCACCCCCCTCGCCTGCCCACACACCACCCCTCACCTGCCCACCAGCTCCCACCTCACACCACCCCCAAACACTACCCCCCTCACCCCCCTCACCTGCCCACACACCACCCCCCTCACCCCCCTCACCTGCCCACACACCACCCCCCTCACCTGCCCACACACCAACCCCCTCACCCCCCTCACCTGCCCCCACAACCCCCCACACCTATCCACCAGCTCCCACCTCACACCACCCCCAAACACCACCTTCCTCACCTGTCCACACACCACCCCCTCACCCCCCTCACCTGCCCACACATCACCCCCATCACCTGCCCACACATCGCCCCCATCACCCCCCTCACCTATCCACACACCACCCCCATCACCCCCCTCACCTGCTCACCAGCACCCCCCTCACCTGCCCACACATCACCCCCCCACCTGCCCACATACCTCCCTCACCTTCCACACACCACCCCCTCACCTGTCCACACACCACCCCCTCACCCCCCTCACCTATCCACACACCACCCCCTCACCCCCCTCACCTGTCCACACACCACCCCCTCATCTGCCCACACACCACCCCCCTCACCTTCCTCACCTGTCCACACACCACCCCCCTCACCCGCCCACACACACCCCCCTCACCTGCCCATGCCTCACCCCGCTGCACCTGTCCAGCACCCCGTGCCTCACCCCCTCACCTCCCACCCCTCACTCTACGTGTGGGAAGTGAGGGAGCCCCCGCAGCTCAGCGGCAGGAAATGCTGCCGGAGCAGAGACAGCGAATTTCACACCACCACCCGCCCGCTCTCAACAGACCAGCAACGACTGGAGAGTTAGCCCATGACTCTCAGCAAAAGAAAGCCGAAGTGGGGAGGGAAGAAAAGCAGAGAAAACAAACTAAACTGACAAAAATGAGAGATGGGGAAGCTCCCGCCTTTAGAGGCAGCGGGGAAAGCCACCCAGCTGGGACCTGATGGAGGTCAGGAGGTCAAGGTCGGCCGGCAGCACCTGCACGGCCCGCCCTGAGGTCAAGGTCAGCCGGCAGTACCTGCACAGCCCGCCCTGAGGTCAAGGTCAGCTGGCACACTGCCCAGCCGTGGGTGCACACAGGGAGGGCGGGGACGGAGGGCGCACCTGAGGCCTGGCCGAGGCTGAAGGCGATGCGCACGGGCCGGTCCGCAGGAACCCTGGCGGTGCTGAGCATGTGGGCGCCGGCGCGGCCTTCCCCCGGGTCTTCCAGCTGCAGGACAAGAGGCACCGTCACCGAGGTCGCAGCCCGGGGGCCTGGCAATGGGGGGCAGCGCTCGGGGGGCGCCGCTCTCTCGGTGAAGATGCTCCCGCCCCCACCTGCCTTCCCTCATCCAGGTCCCTGGCCCACTTACCGTCCCTTTTCTGACACAGAAATGCTGCGTCGGAAGCAGACATCTGGAGTGAAATATACTGGCCTTTGTCACATCCTTTCGCCCTGACAGCTCATTTATAAGAGAGGGGACTGTCATTAGACTGGGCTCGAAGGCCTACGGGACGTGAATTACTGATCAGGTGGCAAAGGATGCGCACCGGGGAATCCTTTGAAAAAGACCAGGGACTGTTTTAAAACATTCCGCTGGCGTGCTAGGACCCGTCTGTGCGTTAAACATCAGACCTCCCTGTAGATCTGTCAGCATCTCTGGGTTTCATGTCTTAAGTGCACGATATAAAACACAAAGCCTGCAACCATCCTCCTGATGCTCCCCCCCCCTTAAATTACCATTTAATTCATAAAGGAGGGCAGACGAACAGGAAAATATCCTGCAGGCGAGCTGGGCTCAAGTGGGCACGTATATTGGTTATAAGACAATTCAGCCCAAATACGTCTGAACCAAGAGGTGTGATCATTTTTGTTCACGGGCACCAGGAAGAGATATTGTTATAAATATCTCTGCTCCTTAAGTACATATATTTAACGTCTTTATTTTTAGTCTCTATTTTTATTTCCCCTAAACCCTCTACTTTCCTTCCCGTGTAGACAGCAAACCGAAAAAACGCTGCAGGATATTTTAAGGAAAATGTCTCCAAAAACGGCAAAATATAAATCATCGTCCAGCCGCCCTCCCCGGGCTGTGGGAACCACTTCGGCAGCGCATTTTCTCACAAGCAGGGCCCTGAGTCTTTCCCATAACTTTTCTCCACCTAAAAATAGTGCCCAGAACATTGGGTTTTGTTTTCGCGATTATTTATAGAGCCAGAGCGAAGGCATACATATGTCCATGCGTCCGAGACGTGATGTGCACGGAACTGTCTCGCCCACAATGTGGACAGAAAACGGGCTTTTGTCCACCTTGTTCAGCTTGGGGGGGAGACACAGCAACTGCTTGTTGTGAAGTAAGAACCTCGCCTGGCCCATGCATGTCCCACGCCTGACAGTGAGGACTCCTGCTGAGTGAGAAAGGAGGAGGACACGAGATATCCAGCGTGGGGCAGGGTGACATGAGTGTCTCCTCAGTCCTGACGCTCATTCCTGTGCTGCCCGGTCTGCTGAGCGTCCAGTGTCCTGTTAGCCACCTGCTCCTGGGGATGGAACAGACTGCCTCAAATTTAACAAAACAAACTAAAAAAAAACACCCTGGACCTTGTGGCTAAAAGGAAAATGTCTCGGTCCTCAAACCAGGTTATCACAACGTCTGAGGATGAGCACTGGGCTCCCTCCCGGCCGGGGCTCCCAGCACGCCCGGTATGAGAGCACGCCGGCCCTGTGCGTCCGTCCGAGAGGGCAGGGAGGCGGCCCCAGACACCGGCTTCTCCCGGCACCGAGACATCTGTGCCCCCGGGCGGCGGCCGCCACGACGGGACGCAGCGAGGACCACAGGGGCCGAGAGCAGATGCCTCCCCATCCCTCCTCGGCGGCCGAGCCGGCCAGGCGGCTGCCCCGCCCGGTGAGCGGCGGGCACACCTGTTCCTTACCTCACTCGGCGGGGAGTGTGCCCTCCTGTCGTCCAGGGCAGCGCTGCTGGCCGCCGGCGCCTTTGTGCGCAGAGACGCGGAGCCTGCACCTGCCGCGGCCGCTGGCCGTCTGAGCAGCAGCGACAGCTGCCCGCTGCTCCGCTACCTGCTGTCCCAGACCCGCGGCCCCCGGGCCTCCTGTTCCGCTCCCCTCCTGCCCTCGCCGCCCCGACAGCCGGGATGCGGTCATGCTTCTAGAAAAAGCAGGGCGGGCGCAGCCCTCCTCCTGTCAGAGGCATTGATGAACAGCGGCCGCGGCGAGGCCAAATGCTCTCCCTCGTTAGTCCTGGCAAACCCAAAATACAGCAGGCTTGCATCACACGGCAGGAATGTCTTCAGCGTGACCCAGTCGGGGCTGGCTGTGCCCGCGGCTGGCACACACAGCGTGACCCCAGGCAGCAGGAATGCCCTCGGGCAGCGCCGGGCACCCGGCCCTCTCGCGGCCACGGGCCCACGCTCCGGTGGCACCACCCAGGAGCCCCGTCCAGCAGGTGAGGTTTGAGCCGGGTTTGAGCCTGGCCGTGTGGCTCTGGGGTTGAGCGCCGACCTATGAGCCAGGAGGTCAGGGTTGGATTGCCGTCGGGGCACAGGCCCGGGTTGTGGGCTCCATCCCCAGTGTGGGGCGGGCAGGAGGCAGTCGACCCATGATTCTCTCTCATCGTGGATGTTCCTCTCTCTCTCCCTCTCGCTTCCTCTCTGAGATCAATAAAAACAAACTTAAAAAAACAAACAGACTGGAGGCCTGCACACCTGTTAGGAAGGCTGAACCCCGCAGCACGGCCCGCCCCCTGCTGGGGGGATGTGGAGCCGCAGGAATGCGCAATCCCGGGTGGCGATGCAGATGGCACTGACCCTACGACGGTCTGTGGTTTCTCAGGACCAAACCCTGTGACCGAGGGACCCAGTGGCCGTGCTCTGGCTGCTCCCCCTGAGGAGCTGACCGCACGGGAGCTCACAGCCCGCCGGAGCGCACGCCGCTGCCCTCACAACCTCACAACCTCACAACGGCCCCGCCCTCCCCGGGGCAGCCCGCCCTCAGCAGGAGGCGGCTCGGCGCGAGGTCCGTGCGCGCAGTGGAAGGTCACCAGCCGTGAAGCGTGAGTTCTCCAGCCACCAGCGGGCAGGGAGGAAGCCGGTGAACGTTACTGAGAGACGGAGCCGGGTGGAAAGCTCCACACGGCTAACCAGTTACTGCCACGCGTCCAAAACGAAGCCATTCCCACACGCCACGGTGTGGCATACAGAGGGGTACGATCCCAGCTGTGGAACATCCTGGAAAAAGCAAAACCAGGGAGACGGGAGCAGCTCCGTGGCTGCCAGCGGTCCGGGGAGAGGGCGGAGGGGCGAGCAGGTGGCACGCAGGGTGTGTCAGGGCCGTGAAACGGCTCCGTGGATGCTGCCGGGTGGACACGTCACCACACATTTGCCAAAGCCCGTGGCCTGGACCCCGAGCGAGACCCTGATGTCAGCCACGGGACAGGGGACGGCGTGGATCGGCACTGGCTCGTTGTACCTCGTGCTCTGACGCAGGCGTCCATGACGGGCGGTTACAGGGAGAGGATGTATGAGAACTCCGATTGCCACTCACGTGCCTCACCCTGTCACACGGTTCGCCCGGTGAGGGAGGGGACGGAGTGGCTCCGTGGCCTGGTGGGCGGAGGCTACTTCACGCTGCCCTGCAGGCCGTGGCGAGGGGACCCTCAGTGTCCGCAGAGAATCTCTGCGCTGCGCACGGCAGGTCCTCCTGGACTGTCACTGAGATGGTCTCACTGGGCAGCTCACGTGCCTTATGTGACACAGTGTGACTCGCCAAAAGCGCCTCATTCACCGTCTCTCCCTCCTTTTCCCCAGGACCCGGTAAAATTGTCCTGGCCGGTCTTGTCATCCCTGATGACAGAGGAGCATAGGGACTCAGACCATCAGGTGACAGCTCACGCTGTTCCACCAGCCAGATGCGGTGTGTGTGAACGGTCTAACGGACTGTGTCACTGACAACAAGCCTGGCCTGGCCGGCGTGGCTCAGTGTTTACCTGTGAACCAGGAGGTCAAGGTTCGATTCCCGGTCAGGTCACATGCCTGGGTTTCGGGCTTGATCCCCAGTTTGGGGCGTGTATGGGGCAGCCAGTCCCTAATTCTCTCCATCATTGATGTTTCTATCTCTCCCTCTCTCTTCCTTCCTCTTTGAAATCGATAAAAACAAGTTAATAATAATAAAAATAATAAAGCCTGCTCTCAGCTCCTGGCTCAGAGCAGAGGAAGGTGTGACTCTCCACTGGCCTCACATCCAGGCTCATCCTGCACCAGCGTCTCCAGGACAGACCCCCAGGAGTCAGAGATGTGCATCGACGTGTGCTGGAAGGGAAGCAGACAGCACATTACACGGTGCCACCGCCACCGCCACCGCCATCAACACCTCCATCTCCACCCCCACCCCCACCTCCATCTCCACCTCCACCTCCATCGCCACCGCCACCGCCATCAACACTTCCACCTCCACCCCCACCCCCACCTCCAACTCCACCCCCACCCCCACCCCCTCCCCCACCTCCACCCCCACACCTACCCCCACCCCCACCTCCACCCCCACCTCCACCACCACCTCCACCTCCACCCCCACCCCCACCTCCACCTCCACCCCCATCCCCACCCCCACCCCCACCTCCACCCCCACCCCCACCCCCACCTCCACCTCCACCCCCACCCCCACCTCCACCTCCACCCCCACCTCCACCCCCATCCCCACCTCCACCTCCACCTCCACCCCCACCCCCACCCCCACCCCCACCTCCAACCCCATCCCCACCCCCACCTCCACCCCCACCCCCACCCCTACCCCCACCCCCACCCCCACCCCCACCCCCACCTCCACCTCCACCTCCACCCCCACCCCCACCCCCACCTCCACCTCCACCTCCACCCCCACCTTCACCCCCACCTCCACCTCCACCTCCACCCCCACCCCCACCCCCACCTCCACCTCCACCTCCATCGCCACCGCCACCTCCACCTCCACCGCCACCGCCATCGCCACCACCACCGCCACCACCACTGCCATTGCCACCGCCATCGCCATCACCACCTCCACCGCCACCGCCATCGCCATCACCACCTCCACCGCCACCGCCATGGCAGTCAGTGGCTGGAGCGCTGGGTTCCATGGAGCTGGCCCCTCGGAACAGGAGGAGCTGGGGTGAGCAGCCCTTCCTCCTCCCCTGGCCCATC